ACTCGATAGGTAGACAAAATGCCAAATCCAGTCTGAACATCTGGCTGACTGTGCGATGATCGATAATAATAATAATAATAATTATTATTATTATTATTATTATTATTATTATTATTATTATTATTATTATTATTATTATTATTAAACTGCTCTGGGACTTCTAGTAGTCTTCTGACTACTTCTCAAAAGGTGACTAAGAACGTAGCCACAGAAAAGCCCAAGGGAAAGGTTTCCTCTATTAAGATTAAATATCTCTCTTAGTATTAAGTAGAAATCTAAGAATCTGAGAAAATTAGAATTAAAAAAAACAGAAGGCCCTTCAGATAGTCACTCATGTTCTGGTCACCTCCTGACTGGACTACTGCAAGGCACTCAACACTGACTCTGCTTCTCAGAAGTTCATGTCATAAATATGATCTCATGGTTCTGACAGATGAAACTCTTCAAAGAACTTCGAGGCATTGTTTATCTTAAAAAAGTCTTTATTAGAGAAGCATAGTGTGGGCACTAACATAATCGAAGCCAAAAACTGAATTCCCCTCCCCTGAGCACATAGTATCAAAGCACAATTCCCTCCTCCAATTAACAGTCATAAATCACATTTTCCAGTTAGTTTGAAATGCAGGCTTTCCCTCCAGTTCTCCAGTCCGCCAATTCTTATCATCTCTTATTTCAATAACCTTGGGTCACACACTAAGTCTATGTCTAGCTAAACTCTCATGCACGTTCCTCCCCCCCCAGCATCATCTAACTCTAACTCAAACTCTAAGAGTAAAATATAAGAAGATGATGGTTGAATCTCCAACTGTTGTCAAAGCAAAAACATCCGATGTTAGCAGCATTGACATATGAGCCAAGCATGTGAGTTTTGATCACATGACCATATGAATGCAGTAACAGTTATAAGTATGGAAAAACTATCATAAATCACTTTTTTCAGTGCATTTGTAACTTTGAGTGGTCTCTAAATAAATTGTTATAAGTCAAGGACTACCTGTAATGCAAAATTTGCCTCAAATAAGCTTTCTGTTAGTAAGTAGAGGGAAAGTTCCTTTGAACAAGTCTACCCAATTTTATGATCCCCCCCCCTTTTTTTATAAGTCTCTCTCTCTCTCTTTCTCTCTCTCTCTCTCTCCTTTTGTCTTTTTTCCCATTTTGCTAGTTAACTTTTTAAAATGTTTCCTAATGTTTAATCAATAAAAATCAAGCTACATTTCGGCTAGGATGATCTGAAGGATGGAGTTGGGTGCTCTGATTTGGGTAAGGCGTATGGTGGGTGTCAGCTAAACTGGAAATTATGCAGAGTAATCTTTCATCGATACTATGACTTTGATTAGGAAATTATGCAGAGTAATTTTCCGTCCTTATGATGACTTTGATTCCCCATATTCAAAAAGAGGACTGTAGTTGAAATGAAAATGGCACAACTTTTAGCCCACTAGGTGGTGCCATAAGAAGGTGGAAAGCATGCACAATACTTCCTGTTAGCTTTTTTTTTTTTTTTAAGTTCACATTTAAATGCAATTCTTTGGTCTCGCCCTGGGAAAGAGATTCCTGCTCTTCTTCACAAGTTGCTTGAAAATGGCTTTCAAATTACCCTGCTTGGGGTTTTAGAGCTTGCAACAGAATGTGACTGCCATTAGGCCAATTCTGCCCTGACATACTGGTGTCATCACAACACCCATTTTAACACTTGTGCTCTGAAGATGCTGCCTTGGGCAATAGAAATGGGAGTTCATGAAGAGCGCAAAATAAGACCACTACATAGTGTGGGGGAAAAAAACAGGTCCAGTTACAAGCCGGGAATAAAAATGGAGGTTGCTTTTGAGAGAAGGTTCTTGTTTATTGAAGAGCAGAGCAGCATCTAGTTCTGGGACTGTTGATCAATAGATTTGATGTGTACAAATACAGTTTTACAGCATTTTGTAATTTGGAGATTTGCTTTGGGTGCTTTTGTTATGAGATTTGTTTAGCTTGTTTGCAAAGGCTAGCAATGGATCTAAAATACTGACTTCCTTGGTCCTAATCCTGTCAAACAAATGTAATTAATTTTATCCCCTCATCTTTTGTTTTCGTACCTAAGGCAGGACTAGAACTCTCAATCTCCTGGTTTCTAGCCTGGAGCCTTAACCACTAGATTAGAGGTAGGCAACCTTGGCTCTTTTATGACTCCTGGACTTCAACTCCCAGAATTCCTGAGCCAGCCATGCTGAAGGGAAAGGGAGAGGTTTCCATGCTGAGTCATGCTGACTCAGGAATTCTGGGAGTTGAAGTCCACGAGTCATAAAAGAGCCAAGTTTGCCTACCCCTGCACTAGGCCAAACTGGCTCTTATATGAGTCTCACATACGTGAACGTGGGATAGAGCGGACATTGTAATGGCATGGCACTGCTTTCATGATTTTGAGAGAATCATTGGATCCCAGAAATAGCTGTGGATCGCCAACACTTTGCCAAAAGTCAAGATGGTGACTGGGAGAGTGTATCCAAAGCTGCCATCTTGACTTTTCTGACACACATCCACTTCAGATGTCCCTGCTCTGGAAAGAAGAAATAAATGTTGAACTACAGAGTCTGTTTTGGGCAAATTGCTGCCTTTCTTTGCAATCCAGCACTCAGAATATTATTTAATCTTTTATCCTCAAATCACCCGATCCTCTTGAAGGGGAAGGTCATCCATCTTACTTTTATTCAAGCCAAAGAAAAGGTAACAATTAGCTCAAAGTACAGGAGTACAGAAATTTGATCAGGAGTGATCAAAAGGAATGGAATCGAATTGCAGAGTGGTTTTCTGCTTGACCTTAGCTTCACTTTTGGCCTTCAAAGCTCTGATAAAATCCAGGAACTATGGCAAATTGGTTTTAAATGCCACGAACAAAGGGAATGGACTGCCCAGGCCATGGGAACCTTGGCCTCCTAAAAAAGAAGAATGAAACTACTTTTCTATGCCATTTGAAAGTAAACCAATTAATTCCAATTCCCGCTTGAAATGGGAACTGGTACAGCAATTACAGCATTGTAGCCAGGACATTTTGAGGAACAAAAAAGCAAGTTTTGACCCCTTTCAAAAAGGAGGAAGAGAAAAGGAGAAAAGGATGGGCTAGTTCTCTTCTGTAGGTCATTCAAGAAAGGACATTTTTAACTCAAAGCAGCAAAAAGTTCTTGCATTAAAGCTGGGCTAAAATGTTATGGATGTTTCAATGGACGTATAACTATAAATCATCTAGCATATGAGAGCTAGCAAACTTTGTAATGAAATAAATGTAGAATGTTTATGGGCATTTATGGGGCCAAGATATTCAAGATGGTTGGGACAATTTCAGTTGACTTGGCTCTGGCAAACAATTATTGTTCTGTTTGTAAAGCTTGGCAGTGTTTGGATCGCCATGATGATGCAGTTAGATTGTTATACTTGCATTTTCTTTGGATCAGAAATTGTTTGTTTACTTGTGAACTTGCAGCATTCTGTTCAATGAAGAACTATTCTCCTCCAGTTCAAGGTTTAGGTGCAATTAAATGATGGAAGACTTGTGCCCTTTTTAGATGTTTTGCTTGTAAAAAAGAATCTAATAGAAAAGAATCTGTGTAGCTTAAGCTTGAACTGTAGAGACCCTGGTGTTCTTTGAACTTGGTTGTTCATTGCCTGACTAATGTTGGGGAAGAAGGAAGGAAGGAAGGAAGGAAGGAAGGAAGGAAGGAAGGAAGGAAGGAAGGAAGGAAGGAGAGGGAGGGAGGGAGGGAGGGAGGGAGGGAGGGAGGGAGGGAGGGAGGGAGGGAAGGAGGGAAGGAGGGAAGGAGGGAAAAGGAAAGAAGGAAGGGAGGGAGGAGAGGGAGGGAAGAAGGAGGGAGGAAGAAAAGGAATGGGAAGAAGAAAGGAAGGAAGGGAGGGAGGGAGGGAGGAGAGAGAGGGGAGGAAGGGAGGGAGGGAAGGAAGGAAGGAAGGAAAGAAGGGAGGGAGGGAAGGAGAGATAGAAGGAGGGAGGGGAAGAGAGGAGGGAGGGAGGAGAGAAGGAAGTAAGTTTTATTACCCAACCATGGTAAGATCTTCAGCACTGATGATGTTCCCTAGTTGGGTAATGAAATGTCTACATCAGACATGTCAAACTCGCTATGTCATGTGACATTGCGCGACATATCGGAACTTTTTCCCCATTGCCGGCAATGGCATGGGTGCGGTTTCTTTGTTGTTGTTGCTGTTGTTGCTGTTGTTGTTGTTGTTGTTGTTGTTGTTGTTATTATTATTATTATTATTATTATTATTATTATTATTATTATTACATCCCACTCAGCCCAACAGGCCCCCTTGTCTACATGGTAGCTGACTCCATATAGTAATTTCTGATCTTCAATTGTTCCCTCCCATCAGCTGGTCTTTAACTAACTGTTGTAATTTAGGTGCCTGATCCTTCATGAATTAATGCCATCTTTTTTTACCTCCTGAAGATGTGGTAGAACATAGTCTGGAAGGGCAGGAGAAAGGGGACAAAGAGACAGCAGAGCTTGGAATGTCTGGCAGGCAGGAAGAGGATGAAGGTGGACCAATGGTGGGATTCAAATACCTGAACAACCGGTTCTCTGCATGGATGCAGGCCTGGGCCTTTGAGGCCTAGAAAGGACTTCTGGAAGTGGCATCCATGCACTTCTGGTGGGCCATTCTAGGCCTAGGAGACCTCCTCCAGGCCTCTTGAGGCCTTGAACGGACTTCTAGAAGCAGTGTGCATTCAGCCGATTCTCCGAACTCAACAAAATTTAGGTGCGAACCGACTGAATCTCACGACTGAGGTGGACCCTTCCTAGCAGTTCACAGAAGATACCTAATAGTTATGCAGATAAGTCCTTTAATCTGGCAAGATTCTGTTTGTAGGTGAACAACTCCTCAGAAATAACTCCACGCATCATACTTGGTTCTTTGCAACCTGACAGTAATTCAGTCCTTCTCAGTCTTTCTCCACCTGGCAACTTTAAGATGTGTGGATTTCTAATTGTCTCTTTGTTGCACAGGTCTTTCCCCAGAATGCCACCACCACTGTTACCACCACATCACCACCTGTCATCTCTTCAGCGACCGAAGTCTACACACGAACACAGTACTGTACATGGCCATGTGAATGTCCAACAACAGTACCTCTGTGTCCCTCAGGGGTCAGTCTGCTCACGGATGGATGTGAGTGTTGTAAGATGTGTGCCAAGCAAATTGGAGAGAAGTGCACCGAGGCGGACGTCTGTGATATTCACAGGGGCTTGTACTGTGACTACAGCAGAGATGCACCTAGGTACGAAATAGGAGTGTGTGCACGTAAGTAAAGTAAATACCTTTTTTTGGTTTGTTTTAAAAAAGCAAAGTGTTGGCTCACATACTAATCCAATTCTGCTACTCCTTCTTTTGGGGATGACTCTGTGCAATAGCTCACCTCCTCCTTTTCTGCTTTTGCTTTGTGCTTCCAAACTCCTAAGCTGCATCAAGATCACGTGAAGTATTGGTACGGATTTATACTGCACTGGTAAGACCACACTTGCAATACTGTGTCCAGTTCAGGTCACCATGATAAAAAAGAAGAAGATGTTGTGTCTCTAGAAAGAGTGCAGAGAAGAGCAACAAAGATGAGTAAGGGATTGGAAGCTAAAGCACACACTGAGCAGTTGCAGGAAGTAACAATGTCTAATCTAACAAAGAGGAAAGGGGTTATACAGTATGATAGCAGTCTTCCAATGTTTGATGGGCTGTCATAGAGAAGAGTAGACCTTCATATAGACATTTCATTACCTAGCTAGGGAATATCATCAGTGCTGAAGATGTTACCCTAGTTGGGTAATGAAACTTCCTTCCTTCCTTCCTTCCTTCCTTCCTTCCTTCCTTCCTTCCTTCCTTCCTTCCTTCCTTCCTTCCTTCCTTCCTTCCTTCCTTCTTCCCTCCCTCCCTCCCTCCCTCCCTTCCTCACTCACTCACTCATTCACTTTAAAGAGAACCAGTAATATTAGGGCTGTAAGGATTGAGAAGCTCACTTTGTAAGCTGCCCAGAGTTTTGAAATAGTGAGAGGGCATGTAAATTTACTAAATAAACAAAAAATATTATAGTCCTTCTGTGGACAAAGCATCTCCCAGCCATTCATTAAAACTGCCACATCTTAATTCAGCCCTTTTCCGGAGCCCGCACAAAGATGCAGCTGCTTTCATGAACAAATCATGAAGGTAGCACAGTTTTATTGCAACTTTTAAAGCAGCTGCAGTTTTTTGCAGATTCATATGAAAACATACCCATGCTGCAGGCCCAAACTGCATCTGAATTACGTTTGAAGAAGCATGCTTTTTTATATAAATATTTTATTAATTTTCAATTTTTACAAACGTGCTTATTAGACAACATGTTGACTGGGTCCATTAATAATTCCATGGTACATATAAGCTTCTTCAAACTAAATCCAATATTACACCATCCAATACCTCTTCTCTTTTTCTGGTAATAAACATTTTTCCACATTAAGCAAATACAATTCTTATCGTTGTTAATAAATATACAGTTGAATATCAGCATTTATTACACTTTTCTAATAGTATCAATAATATCAGTTTAAAATATCTTTTCTAACCAAAGCATATCTTGATTGCATTTGCACTCAATATCCATTTGTTCGGTCAGTATCCTATTTTCACTTTTTTTCCCCAGTTTTAATTTCCCATCCATATTCAAAATGTCCCAATCATTTATAGTTTCAAACCAAGTTATATTTGGGTAACCAAAAGCTTTCCTTATACAAACTTCTTAGCATTTTCTTTTCCCTTTTCATGCCAAAATATAATATTCTGATTACCAATCTTATCTATCTAGTTATAATAATAATATCATGGTTCTCATGAATGAAATATATCAATGCCTAAAATGCGAAGTTGATTAATTATTATTATTATTATTATTATTATTAATAAATAAATAAATAAAGTTGGAAGGGACCTCGGAGGTCATCTAGTCCAACCTCCTGCTCAGGCAGGAAACTATAGCATTTTGGAGAAATGGCTATCTATTCTCTTCTTAAAAACTTCCAGTGTTGGAGCATTCACCGCTTCTGGAGGCAGGTTGTTCCACTGGTTAATTGTTCTGACTGTCAAGAAGTTTCTCCTTAGTTCTAGGTTGCTTCTCTCCTTGATTACTTTCCATTCGTTGCTTCTTGTCTTGCCTTCAGGTGATTTGGAGAATAGCTTGACTCCCTCTTCTTTGTGGCAGCCCCTTAGATACTGGAACACTGCTATCATGTCCCCCCTCGTCCTTCTCTTCATTAAACTAGACATACCCAATTCCAGCAACCGTTCCTTATATGTTTTAGCCTCCAGTCCCCTAATCATCTTTGTTGCTCTTCTCTGTACTCTTTCTAGAGTCTCAACATCTTTTTTACATCGCGGTGACCAAAACTGGATGCAGTATTCCAAGTGATCTTGATTCTATCCCTCTGTTAATGCAGCCTAGCACTATGTTGGCTTTTTTGGCAGCTGCAGCACACTGCTGGCTCATATTTAAATGATTGTCCACTAGGACTCTTGAGATCCCTCTCACAGTTACTACTGTTGAGCAAGGTACCCCCTATACTACCCCCTATACGAAACTAATCAAGGAGATAAGCAGCCTAGAACTAAGGAGAAACTTCCTGACAGTTAGAAAAATTAACCAGGGAACAACCTGCCTCTAGAAGCTGTGAATGCTCCAACACGGGAAATTTTTAAGAAGAGACTGGACAGTCATTTGTCAGAAATGGTATAGGGTTTCCTGCCTGAGCATGGGGTTGGACTAGATGACCTGCAAGGTCCCTTCCAACTATTATTATTATTATTATTATTATTATTATTATTATTATTATTATTATTATTATTATTATTATTATAAAGCCTACTGTGCAAAGTTGTATTATACTATACCTGTACATTTGGTTTTTCTTGCCTAAATGTAGAACCTTACTTTTTTCACCGTTGAATTTCATTTTGTTAGATAGCGCCCAGTGTTCAATGCTCAAGAGTGTTGTTCTTCTCACCAACCTTTTGCTGACGCTCCTTCTTGTCCTTATAGAAATGGTCGGCGTGGGCTGTCTTCTCAATGGAATCAGGTACAACAACGGGCAGAGCTTCCAGCCCAGTTGCAAATATAACTGCACCTGCATCAACGGGGCTGTGGGTTGTATCCCCCTGTGTACTGACTCCAAGCCGCCCCTCGTTTGGTGCCCAAACCCGAAGCAGATTAAGGTCAAGGGTGAATGCTGTGAAGAGTGGGCCTGTGATTATTCAAAGAAAATCAGGAAGACATCTCCACGACATCTCTCTTCAGCAGGTAAGATGGGGGTAAGGAAAGCCCAGCAACGAGGAAACTGGCTTGAAAGTTTGGATTAAACTCCATGAAACAGTGTTTCTCAACCATGGCAACGTGAAGACGTATGGACTTCAACTCCCAGAATTCCCCAGCCAGCAATGCTGGCTGGGGAATTCTGGGAGTTGAACTCCACACGTCTTCACGTTGCCATGGTTGAGAAACACTGTCACAAAGTATGGGATTTTAGGATACATAAAAAGTGGGAATGGGCGGGTTGTAATTCACCAAGTGGTGAGAACTCAGCCATTATTATAGCAACTTTGGTGAACCAAGTGATCACATTAAGCCTTTGTAAGGTTTTTTTTGGTTTGGGCAAAGCCCGGCAAAGGAATTTAACAATGTATTCTGTTGATCAAGGTGGGATCATGCCTGTTTTAAGCAAGAAACTGGATGGGTGACCTTGGGCTAGTTGCTCATTTACAGCTTGAGGAGGACCTCTCTATAGCAAATCACTTCTGAGAAATATGACCAAGATGGTTGCACAGACTTGTCCAAGCAGACTACAAGTCAGAACTGTCTTGAAGGCTGACAGAAAAGGGGGTGTCCTCAAGTGTGGAGATGTACAAAGTGTCTTCATACAGTAAGACCCAAAAGGCAACTTGGACTTTCTTTTTGCCTGAAGACTGTTGAAGGTTCTGGTTCATCCAAGCCGGGGATAAATAAATAACACAACAACTGCTTTAGAAAGAAGGTTGCAGTTTATTGAAGAGCCAGACAGAAAGATGGTTCTGGCAGGAAAGAGGAGAGAAAAGAAGGGGTGAGCACATGTGGGTAGTAGGTTTTTATACCCACTGAAGCCTTTTGTTTGGAGTAGTTTCCTGTTCCTGTGTTGAGGCTTTGTGTGTCACGTATTCTGACCTGAGTCTGGGTGTGGCTTTCTGGTATTCCTGATGGTGGTGGGTTAATCCTATTATGTCCCAAGGGTTATATCCTGCTTCCCTGGTGATGGGGCTAATGACTCCTAGAGTTTGGGTGGGGTATGCAGATTTTAGGTGTCTTTGTCTTCTTGATCTCCTAGCTGGGGCCTTTCTGATGGTTTACATCTGCATTTGTACAGAGCTGGCTTCTGCTTGGGACAGAGAGAGACTTGGGGGCAGGGTTGGTTTCTGCTTTTAAAATCCTTTTGAGGAAATATATTTTTCTGCCCTTTTAATATTTCCTTCTCGGGGGTGGGTGATTTCCCATAAGACGTTTTGCTTCTCATCAAAGAAGCTTCTTCAGTTCTGTCATCCAAGTCATGGCTGTCCCAAAGGTGCTTTTTCCCAAAGGCTTGCTTTGTTGCTGCTTGAAGAGGTTTCGCTTCTCCTCCAAGAAGCTTCCTCAGTTCTTGGATGACAAGCAAAATGTCTTAAAGCAAAGAGAAAGAAAGTCCAGCTGCCTTTGGAAAAAGCACCTGTGGGCCAACCATGACCTGGATGACTGAGAATCTCCACAGACATTCTCTTCATGAGACTGATAACAAAACCTCAACTAATTTCATCAATGCCTTTGCTTTGTCAGTTTATGGAGGAGACATTGAAACATGGCAGAAGAACTGTATCCTGCAAACATCTTCCTGGAGCCCTTGTTCCAAGACTTGCGGAATGGGCGTTTCCACAAGGATCTCAAATGATAACGCCCAGTGCCAGTTTATGAAACAGAGCCGGCTCTGTATTCTGCGCCCTTGCGAGGTGGACATCACCAAGCACATTAAGGTATCTCCTACGTAAGACTAGGTCAGTTGAGGGAACTTTTGGAGAGGAGAAGTCAGGGCTGCAGTGGGAGTTTGATCAGGGTTGGACCCCCCCCCCCATGGGAGGGAGGTTTTTCCGCAGACCGGAGAATGCGTAGTTTTGTGTGCTGCCTGCATCCTGTGGATGAGGTTTTGCTTGTTTGTCATCCAAGTCATGGCTGTCCCAAAGGTGCTTTGGTTGCTGGCATGCCGCGACCCGGTACTGGTCCACAGATTGGGGTTTGGGGACCCCTGCTTTACAGCACTCTCTGAAGGGTTTATAGAATCAACATATTGCCCCCAACAATCTTGGTCCTCATTTTATGGACCTTGGAAGGATGGAAGGCGGAGTCAACCTCAAAAGGTTGTCCAATTTATCCAGTGTTGGAGCTTCTGGAAATAAGCTGTTCCACTGATTGTTTTAACTTGTCAGAAAATTCCTCCTTAGTTCTAGGTTGCTTCTCTCCTTGATTAGTTTCCATCCGTTGCTCCTTGTCCTGCCTTCTGGTGCTTTGGGCCCCTTCTTCTTTGAGGCAACCCCTCAAATATTGGAACACCGCTATCATGTCCCTCCCTAGTCTTTCTTTTCATTAGACTAGACCAGGGGTAGGCAACCTCAGCTCTTTTATGACTCATGGACTAGCTGCATAGCTGACTCAGGAATTCTGGGAGTTGAAGTCCATGAGTCATAAAAGAGCCGAGGTTGCCTACCCCTGGACTAGACCTACCCAATTCCACCAATAGAAATTTTGGGCTTAGTTGTGATCGTTAAGTTGAAGACTACTTTTATGTTTTCTTTTCCTTTTAGAAAAGCTTGAAAGGATGTCCATTTTGGTCAACTTAAGTCGAATTTGCACCATCCATGGTTAATTCTTTTCATGTCTCTTCTCTTCTCCCTTTCTTGTAGCCTGGGAAGAAATGCTTAGCAGTGTACAGAGGAGAGGAGCCCATGAACTATACGCTCTCTGGGTGCACAAGTAGGGTCAACTACAGGCCTAAGTACTGTGGCCTTTGTATGGATGACCGTTGCTGTACGCCCTACAAATCAAAGACCATTGAAGTCAACTTTCACTGTCCAGATGGGACCAGCTTTTCCAGGAACATCATGTGGATTAATGCCTGTTTCTGCAACCTGAATTGCAAGAACCCCAATGACATCTTTGCTGACTTAGCTCATTATCATGATTACTCTGAAATTGCTAATTGACTTGACAGGAGTTGATGGGAGGGGGGAGAGGAGAAGCACAAGAAAAAAAAGGAAAAAAAAAAACAGGCTGCCAAGACCTACAATGTATTATTACTCTGATTTTACAGAGGGTTAAAAATTAATAATTAAAGAAGAGGTTGTTGTTTTTGTTGTTATTGCAACTGTTTCACCTGGATAGATAGATAGATAGATATAGATATATATAATTTCATCAAGGTAGCTTAAAGCTACCTTTGGCTCAATCTGTGGGTTTTAGAAGTCATGCTGGGAACAAATTGTTGGAAAGCAGGCTGTTAGCTCTTTGTGCGTATCCACAGCTGTGTGAGAGACTAAATCAGCTTTTAAGATCAGGTTTCTGATCTATCAGGCACAACGTTGTAATAAAGCAAGCCCGTTGCTGAGCATTAGCAAAGAAACTAATGGGATATTTAAGCTTTGAACCCGTTTGGTCTTTCCTTTCTCCTACATATTTCATAAAGTTCAGTAATAGTGGAACTTAACTTCGTAAATAAGCTCATAAAAGCTACCAGGCTGTTGTATGAGCTAACCAGCTGTGGGCTGAGACATGTGAGAAATTATGGAGAAAAATGGAGATTTCCTATCCTTGCAAAACCATCATTCGTTTCTGAGCAGTGCATAAAGGAGGGAGTGTTCCTAGGAACAGGGAACACAACTCACTTCTCTGAAGAAATGGCTCTTTTTCAACTTTGGCAAGGCTGGCTTGGGAATTCTGGGAGATCTCTTTCCCCAGCATATTCCACACCAGGCACCAGTTTCATGAAAGCCATGGTTTGGCACACAACCTAGATCCCGTGCACGTGGAGAAGACGTTTTGCTCGCTCGCCCGGTGTGGCCCGGTTCCTAACAATCCATGGACCAGTACCAGTCTGTGGCCCAAGGGCTGGGGACCCCTGTTGTAGAAGCCTTTAAGGTCAACCACCAGTGACTTCTGGTTCCCCCCCCCCCAGAAGAGTCGTGTTTTTGAATGGCAAAGACAAGCCAGCGAACAGGGAGATCATGTCTTCAACCTCTGTGTCTCACTAATTTCTTGGAATTGGCAAATCACCAACTGCTGCTCAGGTTTCACGTGTCCCAAGTTGTTTAAATGCCGGTCTATAGCTACCTAAGCTCCTTTTTATCCTTTCCTAACTGGTCTGATTAGATGCCCTTCGGTAAACTGCCACCCTCCAGATTTACAAGGACACTGCTTGGAAACCAGCTTAGTTGTGATCCTGACACACCTAAGAGATTCAGGCTAGGGAAGAAAGAAAGACTGACTTTTAATGTTTTTTTTTAAAGTCCTGCTCATTCAGTTATTCATAATAAAAAGCATTATTCCTCCTCCTCCTCTTCCACTCCCCCACAAACAAACATCCTTACCACTATTCTGGACACAGAAAAAAAAAACCCAAACACTGCAAAGTTACAAATTTATTTTGTTTGAAATAAATACAAATAATTCATTAATAAACTTTCCCCCAAATAGGCATGTCGAGCCTATTACAATCTGCTATTCCTCATTATAAAGTTTCCAGAACACTTTGAAGTGGTTATTTGAAGGAGGAAAAAAAAACAAAACAAAACCCAGGCAATTAACCTAGGGTGGAAATCAGTTCTCGTAAACTACCTCAGATAGTCAGCTCCGGAGATGCTAAATGATGTAAATGCTCAATATCCAAAAATTCATTAGCTATATTAAGTCTTTGTGAAGTAGCAAATAGATCAAGCCAGTGGAAAAATAGATATAATTATGTTTCTATAAAAACTAGAATTCTCATCTATGCCAGAAACCTGGCGAGCTGTCTTGCTCATAGCTTCCCATCCTGTAGCGCTGCAGACACCGGCAAAGTAGCTTTTAAACTGTAGAATCAATACAATCTAATTTTACAATCATCAAACTAAATCTCTTTATTACAGCTTTGCCTCTTCCTCCAACATTTTTCGGACATTTATCCAGCTCCAATTTCAAAGTCTTAAGAGGTTGATCAGATAGTTCTTTGTAATCACTATACACGAATTCCACTGTCTTAATTTACTGCTAGAGTAAATTCAAGAATGAGATGCTTGTTACTTCTGATCCAAACAATTTTGAAGCAAATATTAGAGGTGAATGAGTGGGTGGGGATATCCCTGCAGGAAAACGTGCAATACCAAAGTGGTTTAATTACAGTAAAGACAACAGCTTTATCTATTGCTGCTGCTTCTTAAAGATATCACCCGTTGAAATGCAAAATTTAAGACCAAATTTTTAAATTTCTAAAAATCCCGAACCCTTGCTCTGATTAAGCAGCATGAAAGGACTGCAACTAAGTTCTCAGGTCTGGAATCTCTGAAAGGCAGTGGGCTTTGCCTCCAAGTTGTATCAATTTCCCCGTTTTTAATGTGGTTGTGTAGCAAATAAAGAGCTTGGATGCTATCCATGAAGCCAGTCACTCAACTCCCTTTGAGGAATAGGTATAGTCAGACCAGAGGCTGAAGAGTTTTGAAAATCTCCCACTGTTTTCTTTTCTTTCTTCCTCACCTCCCCTTCCACAATGAAGTCTTAACGGGTGTTTGTATGTAGGTCTTTGGTTGTTCGGGTTTTCTCCCGCGTAAAATTGGAAGTGTCTTGGCGACGTTTCGACGAAGTCCCATTCGTCATCTTCAGGCTGGTGTTTTCGGCTTCGTGCTTCGAGGACTTCATCGAAACGTCGCCAAGACACTTCCAATTTTACGTGGGAGAAAACCCAAACAACCAAAGACCTACATACAAATACCCGCAAAAACCTCAGAATATATATATATATATATATATATATATATATATATATATATATATATATATATATTGTATATATATTAGATCAATAACTGGATGAGTGTTAAAGCCATCTAGAAGTAGCTGGAAAGAAGATCAGCCATTTGATTAGGGAAATAGAGCATCTGAGATGTTTGGTTTTTTTTTTTTTATTGGTCCCCATGGATTTGAGGAAGGGAGGGGCAGAGATCCATTTGTTATGGGGAACACCTTAGGTTAAATATTGCAATGCACAGCCCGAGGTGGCTTGATCATGGTTTGGACAGGACACTCCCACTGACTTGGGGCTCGATTGTCCACTGGTCTTGGCAGAAGTCGAACTCAGCTCAATCTCTGTGGCAGCCTGATTCCGGGGAACGTCCCCAGTTTGGGCCCTGCTTCTGGGGCCCTCGCCTGTGTGAGACCGACTTCGGGCACCTTCCGCGGTGTGGGATCGGCTCCTGTTCCCTTCCATGGATGTGACACTGGAGCCGGAAGCTGTGCGGGATCTCATTAGTCTGGTCATGCTTGCGGAAGGCACTGTCAACGGAAAACTCGGCATTAGGAGGAGATACATGAATTTGCAATGGCCATTGTGTAAAAATGGAGGAGGGTGTGTGTGTGTGTGTCTGTGTTGCATGCAGTTTTTTCAGCCAAGAACCAAATTAGGCCACGGATCAAAGCGTGAGTAAGATCAGGATAAGAAATACATTGCTTTATTTATTTATTTATTTATTTGAGACTTATATACCGCTTTAAGTGCAAGCACTCTCTAAGCGGTGTACACCAGTAAGCAATGTATATATATATATATTTACATTGCCCCCAACAATTTGGGTCCTCATTTTACCTACCCCGGAAGGATGGAAGGCTGAGTCAACCTTGAGCTGGTGAGATTTGAACCGCTGATCTGCTGAACACAGTCAGCTAAAGTGGCCTGCAGTACTGCACTCTAACTGCTGCGCCACCTCGGCTCATTTATTAACTGATCTTACTGTCAGGCATCAAAGATCAGGTCCACATGTAAAGGTCTAATTAATCTGATTTATGACTACTCAGGCCTACGCACAGCAATCTTCTCAACTAATAGCTAGTACCTGCTTTGAATTAGGTAGGGGTCAACAAAATTCAAGGGGAGGGTTGCCCATAGTTTGCTTGTAGCTACATAGAGATTCTAGACTCGCCCCTCTTTTAACTCCATCCCCAGTTCTGCCACTCCTTCCACTATACTTACATAATTAACAGAATTATTTTTCTCCTTTTTCATGATGGTTAACTTTTATCGCATTAAAACATATATATATGGGGAGGCTCTGGAGACTACACCCAAGGCTCCAAAGAATAGGGTTTATTTATGTGCTCCCTGATGTAGGTTTTCTACCCAATACCACAAGACAAAACCCCAAGACAAAAATCTACTGATTATAAGTGTTTTGCGATTAAGGAAATAATTTAGAAAAAAGAAGGGAAGAAGAGAGAACCACAAAATCTCCAGAGATAACAATGACCAAAGCAGAACATCAGTCAGATACATCGGGACTTCTCAAACAAAAGCACCTGAATGCATCGTACACAGTTTCAGCCACACAGACACCCACCCGTGACAGCAAATTGCCCAATTTTTTTTCCCAAGCAACAACTACTTACTGTATCCCATTCCTTGGATGAAGTATTTAAAAGCTTCAGCAAGCTTGGCAGGCTGTAAAAAGGAAACACAGCATGAATGTAATAATCACCTGTTATTAAAGATTTCCAAAAAGGGAAATTGGACAAAGAGTAGTCAAAACAAAAGACCTCAGATCCACTGAATACGTTTAGAACCGTAGAAGAAATTGCCAGCTTAAAATACCTCTGCAATCCAACACTAAAGACTTGTGGAGTTGAAGTCCACAAGTCTTAAAGTTGCCAAGGTTGAGAACCCCTGCACTAGATCAAAACGGCTCTCAACTCTGCTTATGGAGTTTTGCTTTCCAACACAGATGGTAAGTATAAATAAATGGATCCGGTTTGCAATAGACCAAATCTTGGTGAAATCCTCTTCTGTACTCATTACCTTCGGTCGCCCCAAATCAATTCTCACCTGGGAAACCTGAGGAAGACCACCACAGTCAGCCATCTGCAAAAGAAAAAACAGCAATGTTTTAATTTTTTAAAAAAATCCTACTTTCTCAACAATACCAGTTTACTTGCCCTGACTTGACAACCATCTACATAGGAAGAACAGATTTTATCATTGGACGTGAGAAACAAAAAGATTTCTGGATACAGCATAGAGACGTTAAAGAGATGTTTCTGTTTAAAGGTGGAGATGTATTTTTACCCTTCTGGTGATAACGTTCACTCAGAAATCTGTTCGGAAGAATTTTAAGGAGGGTTTTCTAATCAAAGTAATATTCCATTTTAGCTGGAGATTCCCAATGCCTGCTGGTAAAGGGGTAGAAAAAATACTTATTTTCCAAATGGAATAATTAGTAATAATAGCTAGGAGGTCTTAACCCACACTTTGTTCATAGCGTATAACAGGGGTCTTCAAATTTGGCCCTTTTATGACTGGCTGAGGAATTCTGGGAGTTAAAGTCCACACGTCATAAAAGGGCCAGGTTTGAAGACCCCTGGCATATAATGTCCTTCACATCAGTCCTTCAGATATGTTGACCTTCAACTCCCAGAATTCCACTCAGTTGTTTGGGAATTCTGGGAATTCACAGGCAAATACATCTGTACTGGTAGGCACCAAATTAAGAAGTCTACTCTCTACCACAATTCTGCTGAATGAATATCCCTTATTTCATTTTTTTGTTTTGCTCTCCATTTCTTTGTGAGAATGGGCAACTTACTAGCTGAAAAGGCATAAATTAACTAAATGAATGATAACTGGATTCACTATGCAAAGTTTGGAGTTAAAGCATTTTAACTCGCCCCTGTCCCCCTTTGCCAGATCAGGAATATAGTAGGAAAAATGGTTAATTCTGTTCCAAATGGCACCCCGTCATTAGCAGCACAAAATGGACCCCTCAAAGACTAAATGTAGAACGAGGGATGTAAACAAATGGCTCGAGTTCCAGAAAGATCCGTCTGCCAGTACTCAGAATGCCCGAAGTAACCTCTCATCCCCAGAACCTTCTTAAGTGTTTACTGTATTAAGCTCCATACAGATCAATCTTGTACGGTAGGCTATGAAATGGTGCACGTTTACCGTGTGAACCTGCACGCTTCCCTCCTAGCAGGATTAAAATCTATTACGGGATAAATTTCTAAACATAGTAGTCGCGTTACCTTCTGACCCCCCTAATTATATTTAAGAGCCCTAATGCCTGTGCAAAAATGTAGGTCAGTGTTTCTGCAGTCAAGGAGAAAAGGGAGACTTCCATACGTCTAGCCTCCAGCTTCCCATCTCTCTTTCATTTCACTACCATTTGCTAGTTTATCTCCCAACCAGTTGCATTGCTCTAAGTCAGTGGTTCTCAACCTGTGGGTCGGGACCCCATTTGGGGTCGAATGACCATTTCACGGGGGTTGCCAAACAACGCAGTCTGCCATTTTTCCCCCCTTTTCCTTAGCTGTGCTACTCCCTTTTATTCTATTGGCTTTTGAAAGCCAATAGAATAGACTCTCTTGAATAGAGTCTAATCCTATTGGCTTTCAAAAGCCAATAGGAATTGTCCAGGCTGTCCCTGCCCTGCTGAGCCCACCAAAAGTCCCATTTTGCAAACTGTGCTGCACCAGTTGAGTAGTCCTCGACTTACGAATGGTTGAGTAGTCCTCGATTTACGACCAGTTGGGGGTCGCGGCATTAAAAAGGTTGAGAACCACTGCTCTAAGTACTAATGCCTGGATCAAAACACTCTAGTCTGGGAGTGTCTAACCTTGGCTCTTCACAACAATTCAAACTCTTTCATACAAATCCCAAGAGCTCTGCCTTGGGCTCAGGGGTGGGATTCAAATATGTGAACACCCGGTTCTCTGTGTGGATGCTGCTTCCGGAAGTCCATTCTGGGCCTGGGCTGGGCCGCAAAATATCAGCTACCGGTTCTGCCGAAGTGGTGCGAACCGGCTGAATCCCACCACTGCTTGGACCCCGGTGGTTACCTTTAGAAGCGTAGTCTTTGTTGGGTCAAGTTTAGCGTTGCAGTCCACCTGTGAGGAAAAGGGACAGAGAGAAGGAAAGAGGCACGCTGGCTGAGGAATTCTGGGAGCTGAAGTCCACAAGTCATAAAAGGGCCACGTTTGAAGACCCCTGGCATATAATGTCCTTCACATCAGTCCTTCAGATATGCTGACCTTCAACTCCCAGAATTCCACTCAGTTGTTTGGGAATTCTGGGAATTCACAGGCAAATACATCTGTACTGGTAATCACACTTTCAGAAAAACCTCTTGTATGCAGCTTTACTTGCTTTGAGGCTAAGTCCCAACTAGCGAAGGAATTCCATTAGTAGTCGTCTCCAACTTCCAGCCGTTCATTTGGTGACCGTTTGAAGTCACAACGGTGTTGGAGAAAGTGACTTACAACCAGTCCTCGCACTGGTGACCGGCTGCAGTGTCCCCCACGGTGACCATTCTGATTTGGGGTGCTCGGCAGCTATCACACATTTACCACGCGATGACTGTTTGGGAGCTCAGCCAGCTCCGAACAAGCAAAATCAACGAGGAAGCCAGGAGGATGCAGCAATTTGCGATTACGTGGTGTTTCACTTAATGACGGCACCACTTAACAACGAATTGTCCGATCTCTATTATGGCGGTAAGTCAAGAACTACCTGTAGAGGATTTTCGGAAGTCACTAGTGAAATTCTGGATGCTTAAAAGAATATCCCTGGATATTCCATTATTTTTTTTCTGATGCTCCACTGCTTCTTAATAGGCAGAAACAGGAATTCTGTTTTCCTGTTTTTCACCAATCTAGCTTAAGGTTGCAAAAGTTCACAGCTGGCAGCGGCCCCCATTAACTCTCCTTTGCTCTCCCCATTTTGCTTCTTTGCTGACGCTCAAAAACAGGACTTCTGAAATTATGCTGTAAACCCCATGTAGCCTGAGGACCCCAAGTTATCTATCTACTCCAGGTTTCGGGACTGTCAGCTGCGAAAGGAGTGTAATCCCTATCCTTGTCTCTCACCAGTTGCCAGGATGCTTTCATTTCGATTCCCGCTTGAACAGACGGCTGGGTTTAATATCCAAATGACCCACTCCCAAACCTGTGCTATTCTTTAGATCGGGAGAGAAACTCTCATTGTTGATTACAGTTACTGCTTTTAATCCCTGTAAATTGCCTAGTTGGAATTTTTCACAGAAAACGCGATGCAAGTAGACAAGGCTGTGACTAAGTGTTAAGTATCTTGATAATGATCTAGATCTATTATTTTTAAGTCCTCCATTTGAAATGACGTTAAGTACTTCTTGCCTACTCCTTTCCATGCGTTGGCTAATTCCTCACAAGTTGTTGTAAAAAGTTCCTTCTCACAGCACATGCCTAGTGGTTAGAACTTTAGTCCAGGAACAGATAAACCTGATCAATCCCTCACTTAGCCATGAAGCTTAATGAGTAGCTTCAATTAAATCATTACTCTTCAGTCTAACCTGATTTGACTGAAATGGGTCAGGAATACAATTGTTAGGATTATTTTCAAGGTGCCAGCTTGAGATGGCTAATCTCAACCTATCTCAGAAAGTTAGAAAGATATGATGGCAATCAACTCACAGAATTGATCTACCTTGGCCCAGGATCCAGAATTCCAGGTGAGAAAGCAGTCATGCTGGCTGTACTTAATATTTTATATCTAAGTCTTGGGAACTGGTACATCATTAGACTTGGGCTATCAGTCCTAGATAAACTGCAAATTTCCAAAATTTGTTTCCCCCCCCATCTCCAATTAACTTTAATGGACTGTTAGGGACTTTATTTCAAATCTGGAGGGCAGAAGTCAAAATAAACGAGATGCGATCCTTAAAGAGAAATACCGAATCACGTTGCATGCTCAAGAGAAAACTGGGGTTGGTTTGTTTGTTTGTTTCATTCATTCATTCATTCATTCATTCATATTCTGCCTTTGCTATTATGTACGTACCACAGCGTCAACTGCAGGAGAGCTGTCTCCAACCACCAACAGTGCAGGGCACCTGAAAAAAACACACAATTAAAATAAGTCATTTCATAATGCTCAATGGCTTTGCACTCCTTTAAGGAAGTGATTCTAACTGTATCAGAAAAAAAACAAAGTTGTTGGTTGAGCAAATCAGATTCAAGGTGTTGGCTTGTTGACTAAATAAACCCATTAATTTTCGTAAAAACCTAAATACAGCCAAACTGTTGCGGTCTACTAAAAACCGTCAAAAGTTTATTTAGGAGGATATGAGTAATGCCGGATTTTCCCCCCACCCCCCCAAATACATAAAGGCAATTGCAAAAATAATGATTATGCTAGCTTTAATGTTTGCACTTTTTTAGCCCAAATAACAATATAACATAAATACTTCTATCATTGCAGTAGCTCTTACTTGCTCCTTGGTTGCTGCTATGATAGGCTAAATCTTTTCATTTTCACCATAACAAAACCGAATGTATGGTTGGAAATCTAATTTAGAAACTCGGGGACCACATGGTTTAGCTTCCTGCTCCCATTTCTATTCAAGGATCAGTTTCTTCTACAATCACTAATTCTTGGCTTCTACTATTTATCGTTTTTGTCTTTTTGGCGAGTATCTTAACAGTTAGTGTTGACTCCTGGTGATTGCCTGGACAAGTTCCTGAGGCCTTCTTGGCAAAGTTTTTGAGGAGTGGTTTGCCCTTGCAATCCAACCCTCCTTCCTAGGGCTGAGAGGCAGGGACTGGCCCAAGATCACCTTGTAGTAGTAGTAGTAGTAATAAAAGTTGGAAAGGATCTGGGAGATCATCTAGTCCAACCCCCTACTCAGGTAGGAAACCCTACACCATTTCAGACAAATGGCTGTCCAGTCTCTTCTTAAAAACTTCCAGTGTTGGAGCATTCACCGCTTCTGGAGGCAGGTTGTTCCACTGGTTAATTGTTCTGACTGTCAGGAAGTTTCTCCTTAGTTCTAGGTTGCTTCTCTTCTTTAGTTTCCATCCATTGCTTCTTGTCCTGCCTTCAGGCGCTTTGGAGAATAGCTTGACTCCCTCCTCTTTGGGGCAGCCCCTGAGATATTGGAAGACTGCTATCATGTCCCCCCTCGTCCTTCTCTTCGTTAAACTAGACATAGCCAATTCCTGAAACAGTTCTTCCTATAGTTTAGCCTACAGCCCTGTAATCATCTTTGTTGCTCTTCTCTGTACTCTTTCTAGAGTCTCAACATCTTTTTTACATCGTGGTGATCAAAACTGGATGCAGTAGACCACGATTTATTTCTTAAATTGGTACAGTCCAAATTTCAGTAGAAACTGGGAATTCTACGTCCCCTTTTCTAACCCAACATTTAAAAGGCAGATTGTAACAAAAACTTACTGCAGAGTAACAACATTTACTCCTGGAGCTGGACGCTCAATATCGAGATCTCTTCGGCTATAAAACAGACAGGAAACAATTGTAAGAAGTTATTACATATGCAACCCCCCCCCCCCCGAAAGTAGGAAGAAGTCATCAATATGAGAGTGGTGGCTAATGTGTATTCCCAACTAAACGAGTAGATGATTAGAGGACTGCTAATCTGGCATTCTAGCTTTCAATTAAATTTTGAGTACAGGTAGTCCTTGACTTACAACGGCTCATTTGGTGACCGTTCGAAATTAAGATGGCATTGAAAAAAATGTCTTATAACCGCTTTTCATACTTATGACTGTTGCGTAAGTTTAAATGTCAAGTGGGAATCCCAAGCCTTACAACTAAGCTTCTCACAGGAGCTGTGTAGAAAGATCTCCAAAACAATCTGGGATCCTGTTACCGATTCCCCCCTGAATAGTAACAGCAAATATTTTCCTATGCGGTTTGAAATGCTCGCTGGCCTATTACCTGTTGTAAGAGTTGACAAATAGATGGAGATTGTTTTGGTTCATGTCACCGATGATGTGCTGGCGGTAAGTATGGATCAAATCGTGGCTGCTGTGAATCTCCTCCTAGATTTCATGTAGGCACGGATATAGGGTTAAGGAGTGAATTTGTAACAACCACCTAATCAAGGATCTGCAACATACACTCCCACCAATACTGACAGGGCAAGTCACCCGTATATCAACAGAGAGCAAACCCACTCTCTTCTAGCACTGAGGGTGTTATGAAATGCCTGCAAGGAAACAACCAAGTTCAGAGAGCACCAAGGACCCCACAGTCGTCATTGTTCTCCTCCTCTTCCTCTCCTCCTCTTTTCTTCCTTTTCTTTCCCTTCTCCTCCTCCTTTCTTCCTCTTCTTCCCCTTCCCCTCCTCCTCCACAAACCCCACTGCCTTCCACTACTGATGGTGTTACCCAGTCAGGTAATGAAATGCCTGCAAGGAAACACCCAAGTTCAGAGAGCACCAAGAACCCCCACAGTTCAACTCTGAGCTTCAAATGTTCTTTTCTGTAAGTACTTGCAGATTACAAACTTAGCATGGCCCACGTGGGCGTATACAAATGTTCAGAACATGGAAACAAAATCCTGCCATGTGACAATCCCAACTTTTCTCAGACAGCTTAGAGCAGCATAAATACATTCCTTAATTTCACTCTCAGAAGCCCACTAGCTCTGAAGATATCCTTTTTTGGGACAAGTAATATGGCGCTCTTAAATTCTAAATGAGAAAAAAAGCCAAAACCTGCCTATTTTTTTCAGTGTCTTCACACAGTGATCAAGGGGGGGGGGGAGAGAGAGATTGGGCGTAACCAAATAAGATTTAAAAAAATAACAGAGGAATTCTGGGAGTTGAAGTCCACAAGTCATAAAAGGGCCAGGTTTGAAGACCCTTGCTCTATTGCAATGTTTCTCAACCTTGACAATTTTAAGGCATGTGGACTTCAACTCCCAGAATTCCACAGCCAGCAATGCTGGCTGTGGAATTCTGGGAGTTGAAGTCCACATGCCTTAAAATTGTCAAGGTTGAGAAACACTGCTCTATTGTATGGCTAGCACACCTTGGCTACAATCAATTATTAGTATCCTGAGCAGTAAGATGAAGGTTGAGCTTTATATTTTAATATAACTGTTCAAGAAGTAGGCTTACCTTGGCAAAGAGATGTGAAATGACCATCTCTGGTAAAGCATGAGCCCATCCAGAAATCTAGACATGGTTTTTTTAAAAAAAGAAGTACATTAGGATAATTTAAATATTCCATCGATCATGTATCATTACCTCAGTCACGTAATACACTGACATTCAATTATATACTTCAAGAAATACATTTTGCTCCCTCATTAAATACATTGTCCTGAAAGGATACACTGGCCTCTTATATTGTAAGGGTTTTCCTCACTCTAGAGTTTCAACGGATGAAGAAACGTTAAAAACAACAATAACTTGGCTATGAGTCCCAAATAAACCCAAATGTTTATTTCTGCAATCCCTGTGCTTCTAAGCATACCTTGATCTGTTTTTAAGGTTAGTTTAAACAAATGAGGTTTTTACCTTGGTTGCGGCCCAGTCCATCCACCCTTCGGCGCATGGATTGACGTTGATAAGGACGAGTCCTTCCACCATATCAGGATAGTTAAGCTGCAGATTGAAAAGGCACATGAGCAAACAGCCAGATGAAGAGATAGAAGCAAGCTAGAACTGAGAGAAGCAACCTAGAACTAAGGAGAAATTTCCTGACAGTTAGAACAATTAATCATGGAACGACTTGCCTCCAGAAGTTGTGAATGCTCCAACACTGGAAGTTTTTAAGAAGAGATTGGACAGCCATTTGTCTGAAATGGTATAGGGTTTCCTGCCTGAGCAGGGGGTTGGATTAGGATATCTCCAAGATCCCTTCCAACTCGAATAGAGTAGAGTAGAGTAGAGTAGAGTAGAGTAGAGTAGAGTAGAGTAGAGTAGAGTAGAGTAGAGTAGAGTAGAACAGAGTAGAAGCTGGAAGGGACCTTGGAGGTCTTCTAGTCCAGCCCCCTGCTCGAGCAGGAGAACCTATATTGTCTCAGACAAGTGGATGTCAGGTCTCTTCTTAAAAATCTCCAGTGATGGAGTGCCCACGATTTCTGGAGGAAAGCTGTTCCACTGGTTGATTGTCCTCACTGTCAGGAAATTTCTCCTTAATTCCAGGTTGCTTTTCTCTTTGGTTAGTTTCCAACCGTTGTTTCTTGTCCTTCCATCTGGTACTTTGGTGAATGTGACCCCCTCTGCTGCTGCTGTTATTTTTTTTAAATAACAATAACAATAATAATTATTATTATTATTGGAAGAGAGGTAAAACATGGGAACTTTTTTTGAGGAAGAGGATTTCCTCCGCATATCATCATTCTGAAGATCTGTTGGAAGTGGACATTTGTTTATTAAATAGATACACCCAGTAACCACCTTATTTGAAGATAATTTTAAGGTCTTCCAGGGCAAACAACATGTCACGTGCAGAGGGTCTGTTTAAGGAGTTCTGAACTCTTGCACATCGGAGCAGTATTGTCACCTGAATGATACAAATTGGGTTCTTCTGTTGTGGTGGGGAGTAAATAAGAAATTGTCAAGTGCTGGAAATCAGTTCAATTGAATATATAGGTATATTGTATGCTAAAGATTTTTACAAGAAACTGAACTACTAATAGTAGTAGTAGTAGTAGTAGCAGCAGCAAACTAGTGGTAGATAAAATTCAATGGAATTCAAAAAGGGCTGGACTTAGATTTCTTGTGGGCACAAAGGGATTTAAGACTAATGATGCATTTGACCCCTCCCTCAAGCTCAGCCTGGTCATCTCCTACAGAAATATTGTGAAATATTTCCACTCTGTGCTTTGGCTGCTCAAATCTCAGCCACTTCTTGGTGAGGAAGAAGTTACGTCACATTTTGATTTTTGTTTGACACTGGATGTCTGCTACTCAATCAAGGTAGAGCACATCAGAAGATGTGAAGCTGAAAACAGTGTTCTGAACTCAAGTTTATAGTATGTATCTTATCAATAAAGATTATCTTATCTGTAGTTATACAAAATGTGCAACCAGAAGGGAAGCAAACCCACCCCCATTCCCAACTTACAGCAAATCGTGTTAAAATGTAGGCCCCAGCTCCAGTTCCCATTCCAATCACACTTTTCAGTCTAAAAAGAAAAAAAAAAACCAGGAAGTTAGAAATAAAATTATATATAAAGATAGATATTTAGAAAAGGAACATGAAGTCAAGTATTGGTTTCTAATGCCTTCCACTTCTGGATATTCTATTTTATATTCAATATGCATCCCAGTTGCTCCATGTCCGTTTAGAACAGAACGAAGGTCATTTGGACAAGGTAGCTCCATCCAACTATTCCCATTCCCTCAACAAATAGGCAAGCAAAAAGCAAACAAAAAATTGTCACAGCAGTAGCCCTTAAAGATGGCATAAAGATTTAAGAGTTGACCTCATGCTCTAGATATGTCAGGGTAAATAGTTCAATTTAGCTCCCATGCACAAATATTTGCTTTAATCATATTGACTAGTTTAATAATTAGCTCTGCAGGTTTTAGACTTCTTCGTACAAGAACAGATTTGGCACAACTCAGATGCAGAAAGGAGGCTGCTAAGTAGCGCAACAAACATTTAAGTAAAATTGAGTTTTCTTTATATTGAAATTTAAATGAAACGTATTGCTTAATAACCAGTCAACCTTTTAATTCAGAAACCTACCACAGAATCCACAGAGGGAGTAAATTTAGATATTTCTCTACTAGTGCAGAGGTCCCCAACCTTTTGGGCATCAGGGACCGGTTCCGTGGAGAGAGGTTTTTCCATGGACCGGAGGGCGTGTGGTTTTGTGTGCTGCCTACATCCCGTGGATGGGGCTTTGCTTGTTTGTGCGGACTGGTTGCTGGCATGCTGTGGACCGGTACCGGTCCACGGACTGGGAGTTGGGGACCCCTGTACCAGTGGACTCATAACAAAATAAAATATGGTTTTGGGATGGTGGCAGATGGAACTTCAAGAACCTGCTTCTAAAAGCAGAACGTTCCACACATCGATTATTACTATATCTGTCAGATGTGGAGATTTTCTTTTTCTAATTAACCAGTGCAACCAAAGCGATGTGGAATCCTTCAACCATGAGTGCTCCAAAATACAAAGGATTCTAAAACCTCTCCACTTCTAATAACCATCAGAGAAAACAAGACAGTTTTCTTAGATGTTCTATGGATGTTGTGAAGGAACAGGAAAATGGTTTCCCTGAAGCTTGACTGAAAAACTTGAAGTGGCTATTAGCAGACAATTCTACTCACCCAAATTGCTTCAGGACTCCAGGGAGCATTTCAGACAGTTGATCCATGGAAGGATACATGTACCTATAAAACAAAGGTTAGAAGGACATTACTTGTTTTCCAAAGCATGAGAATTGTTGTACTCGTTTTACTTCATTCTGGGTTGGGTCAACTCAAACCTAGCTCCTCGCTTAAGAAGGATTCAGGGAAAGTGGAACAAGTTCAAAGGCGGGCAACAACAACAACAAACCAAGCAGTAGAAACTGAGACCAGCAAAGACAATTTGAAGGAACTGGGTTTGTTTAGCCTTGAAGAAAGATAACTAGGAGGGAACTGTGGCACATTACAAATCCTTTAAAGCAGGGGTCTTCAAACTTGGCCCTTTGATGACTTATGGACTTCAACTTCCAGAATTCCTCAGCCAGCCAGGAATTCTGGGAGTTGAAGTCCACAAGTCATCAAAGGGCCAAGTTTGAAGACCCCTGCTTTAAAGGATGCCACGTCAAAAAGGGCAGTTTTTCCAACATTCTTAAATTGCAGCATTACAATATTAGGTTCAAGTTACAGGAAGACAGAACTTCCTAACAGTAAAACCCGTCTGAGATCAGACATGACTAACCAAAGGGGTGGTAGGTTTCCACTTACTGGATTTATACAAGAGATGGTTAGACTACCCAAACAGGAGGTTGGACTTGATGATCTTGAAGGCTCCTTACAATTCCAGTCACAATCCCATAACCATTAAACAATACGGTACCAATTACTAAACAAGCCCATATGAGATCTAGATGCCGTCTACAGATGGTCCTTGACTTATGACAGCTTAGCCCAGCATTTCCATTGCTAAGCAATACAGTTAAGTGAATTGAGCCCATTTTACAACCTTTTTGCCAGTTATTAAGTGAATCGCTTCAGTTGTTAAGTGAATCGTGTGTGTATATACGTGTGTGTGTGTGTGTGTGTGTGTGTGTGTGTGTGTGTAAAAATTATTACCCACCCACCTCCCTTATAGAATCAAGCAGTTGTCAAACGAATCTGCCTTCCTCCATTGACTTTACTTATCAGATCCCAGCTGGGAAGCTTACAAATGATGATCACATGACCCCAGGAATACTGAACTGTCATAAGCCAGCACCCTAATTTTGATCACGTAACCATGGGGATGTTGCAACGGCCATAAGTGTGAGACCTGGATATAAAGGTTATTTCCCCCCCCCCCCGCTGTTGTAATTTCAAAAGGTCACTAATTGAACGGTTGCAAAATCAAGGACTATCTGTACTACAAGCTTAGCTGTGCTATTTGCAAATCAGTGTCTATTTTCCTGGAGAAGAATTGAGAATCAGGAAATTAAAAATATGCTTCAGAAAACAACTACAACAAAAACCTGGCCAGTAAAATCCATTCCCCCCCCCCATTTCCCATGTGAATAATTTTGGGATTGAGACTATAAAATCTGAATTAAAATCCACAGAATTAGCAGGAGCCACTAACCCAGGCGGGAAAGAGGGCGCTCCGTCTTGCTGTCCGGGGGCATCCACGTGGCAGACCGCAAAATGCTGGGTGATTTCCTGCATGTCCTCATAATTGAAGAGGGGGTTGAAGCACGTTTTGTCTTTGGAGGGAAGCAGAGGAGAAGGCAAAACTTGGGAAAAGGCGTTCTCAAGACTGAGTAACCGCCAAGTACGACAGAGCCCTTACAACTTTATTGCACAGTGAAATGGACAGACGCTCTAGGTCAGCTTGTGACAATCTATGTCCCTATGAAAATAACGATGCTTCCTTTATAGAAAAAGCCAATGGGCATTTAGGGAAAGCAATTTTTCAGGAAAGTGGGCTGCACACTGGGCTGCTTCATTTCTCTGCACTTTTTGCAACACAAATTTGAAAAAAGAGCTTCTTCTTCATAGTGTGAATATGTGGGCTACTCCAAGTCAAGCTTTTCATCAATTTTCATCCATTGGATTTCCAGTTCGCACAATGCTCGTTTCTGGTTGAAGAGGCCATTGCTGGATGAAAGAAAAATCCCCAAATTATTTTCCTGTGGCCTTTCTGACAGCGACTATTTTGCTCTGTAAAAATGCAGATTCATAGTTAAAAGCAAAGGTTAGTCCTCGGCTATTGTGCAGCCACAGCTAAAGTGGACTTTGCTATAGCGAAGATTTGATGAGGGATTCCTAAAATTTAAATCCCACACTTTTAGCATGAACAATTCACAATCGCTCTGGGTCAACAAAGGAATTTCCGCCCGTCGTGAATTATCCAGCAGCTCACAAAAATTATTAAAAAATGTTTCTTTGCCTATTGTGTAGTACTAAGCCATAACGTACTATACATGCAGAATTCAAAGTAATAGTAGTAAAGTTGGAAGGGACCTTGGAGGTCATCTAGTCCAACCCCCTGCTCAGGCAGGAAACCTACACCATTTCGGACAAATGGCTGTCCAGTCTCTTCTTAAAAACTTCCAGTGTTGGAGCATTCACCGCTTCTGGAGGCAGGTTGTTCCACTGGTTAATTGTTCTAACTGTCAGGAAGTTTCTCCTTAGTTCTAGGTTGCTTCTCTCTTTGGTTAGTTTCCACCCGTTGCTTCTTGTCCTGCCTTCAGTGCTTTGGAAAATAGCTTGACTCCCTCTTCTTTGTGGCAGCCCCTGAGATATTGGAACACTGCTATCATGTCCCCCCTCGTCCTTCTCTTCGTTAAACTAGACATACCCAATTCCAGCAACCATTCCTTATATGTTTTAGCCTCCAGTCCCCTAATCAGCTTTGTTGCTCTTCTCTGTACTCTTTCTAGAGTCTCAACATCTTTTTTACATCATGGTGACCAAAACTGGATGCAGTATTCCAAGTGTGGCCTTACCAAAGCATTGTAGAGTGGTATTAATACTTCACGTGATCTTGATTCTATCCCTCTGTTAATGCAGCCTAGCACTGTGTTGGTGGGTGGGTATTGTGTGAAATTTGCCACTGTGATTTTCAAACTCTGGATTTCTTTCTTTTTTCTTTTTGCCATACCACTGTAGCTTCTTCAAAAGCCAATTGAAACAAGACATGGTTTAGCGTCATATGTGAACTCAGCCAATGTTACAGTAACACTTCATTAAGACCAGCCGTTCTAAATTTTTTACCCTTCGGGTATGTTAGGACCACATCTCCCATAATTCCCAGGCAGCTTGGAAGCTGGGTGAGAATCCTGGGAATTGCAGCCCCATTACACGGGAAGGATACCTTATTTGGAAAAGCTACATTAGATCACAAGGCACAAAACAGAGTAACTAAGCCAGAAAGAAGTAGTAGTTCTCCACTGCATGCTAGTTATGAGAATGGGCAAGACAACCCAAGATGACACACTTACGATTCAACCCAATATCATGGTATGTTAGAATAGCAGGTCTGTTTCCCCGGGGTGTTCCACACATGGTGACATGGACTGACCCATGGACTGTTTCAATGTCTTGTTCCTGTGGAGGAAGGCAGCAAATTAGCCATTTGCACCTCAGCAAAAAGGCTTCTGAATCCCACCAAGTATTTAACATTCAATCAAAACTACTTTAAGTAGGTCTGCTGGATTCTGTTCACAACATCTGCAAGTCTATCATTCAAGTCCTTAGTGAGAAATTATCAATCTGTACTTACAGGGGCTAAAAAGAAGTCCTTAATAACAAGCTATTTGGAGTTCCCGTTGGAATAAAGAGGAGCAAAAATTAAAGAGAGGATCAAACTGGGAGTTGAGTTGACTACTATTTCTTTGAGGGGTCTTTGGTGCTCTCTGAGCACGGTTGTTTTCTTTTCTTTTTTCCCAAGTTTTTAAATTAATTTTCCAATATTACATTTACATATTTGAAAAGTAGAGTGGCGGCTGAGCACAGTAATTCCATTACATTTGAATATCATCAGCACAAATCTCAGTGTTACAACAACTAATTCCCTCTCTTTCCCCCATAATATCTACTGTCATATTCGAACCAATACATTTCTTATTCTATCAATTAAACAAAAAATACCTTTCTAGTATTCATCAATGATCTTCAGTCTATACATATCTTAATTAATTTACACTCCATCTTTTAGACAATAACCTAATACGTTTTTCTTAACTTTAATTTCCCATTGATATTTAAATTTAACGTTTAATCTTTATCATTTCCAGATTTTAAATGATCCCAATTTCTAAGTCTCCTATCTCATATCTGGGGCTAATCATTTTTTTCTTCTCTTCCTTCTTCTTCCTTTCCAGAAAAAGAAAAAAAAAAGAGAAAAAAAATAAACCACCAGCATTTGTTACCACAAACCCATATACAAATTTAATTATTAGCATTTATACATCTAAGTTTTACTTAACCTTTATCTCAACTCATAACAATATCTTAAATTCAAATTTTAGTTATTTGTAAACATTCAAACTTTTAGCCAATCAGTGACCTGAGCTCAGTTGTTCTCTTGTAGACGTTTCATTACCCAACTAGGTAATATCATCAGTGCTAGAAGGGAGTAGGGACTTTCTAGCACTGAGGTTACCTAGTTAGGGCAATGAAACATCTGCAAGAAATCAATCAAGCTTAGAAAACACCAAGGACCCCTCATTTCAACCCTGAGCTACAAACAGTCTCCTTTATTACTACCATTCTCTGCAAGCTTACTATATGACTATGTACGATTGCCAACTTCCCTCAGAGAAAGTTGCCTCTTTCCAACCATCTAGAAAACATCGGGGAGACACAACCCAATCTTTGCCAAATGTTTGGGATTATGTATTCCATAGTATTCATTTCTGGTGACACTGACAGGCTGAAATTGTTACACGTCTGAATGAAGGCATTTGAGCCAGTAACGTTGCTGAAACAAAGCGGGTTTGGTAAAATTTGATCAGCGTATGGATGTTGTGTTATCAATATCTCACCCTGAAGAAATGCAGGTGGTTAAAAAAAACAATGGAAATATTTGCCCATTTGTTTTGCTCCCTTTCAGAATTCATATGATTAGCCACATGAACGATGGCTGTTAAACATGCTAGAGTTGCTTCAGTACTGCAGAATTAAAGAATGTACAGGAACATTAGAAAGATGCATTCTGTTCCTTTTCCTTTTCTTTTGTAAGCCTGGAAAGAAAATCGGGTTTTTAAAAGTATCCAAATGAAGGATTATAACATTCAAAAATATATTGTTGGCCATGCTGAGTTCTTTTATTCAGAGATTATACGGTAGATAAGTTTTTTACAAAGCTTTTTTTTAATTATTCACTGACACTTTCTAATAATCTTCAAATCACATCAGTTTTCACTGCTTCTGGTTGTGGTAAAAATTCCAGCATCAAGCTATTTTATACATTAGGAAAACTGGAATTTAAGATCTGGCAAAAATCTTCTGACCTGTGAAACATGTTCAAGTATGGCAAGATGGAAAGTGATATTATATTGTTTGATTGGATTGTATAATCTGATGAGCCAACATTAGGCAGTGGGATGACCCATCTTAAAAAGAAAAACCTTATAGCATACTAGAAATTTTCTGTTCTGGGAATAATACTGTAATTGCCTGGAGTTGGGCAGCATATAAATTTAATAATAATAATAATAAATATCAAGACAAGTACAAATTTCCCTCCTACATCACATAGCCCAAGAAGATTGGCCTTTTTGTCCAATATTTAAACCCCAAAGCAAGATAGTCTCCCATAAAATTATTATTTTTTTAAATATCGCCTACTAAAGCCTTTGGGTCTGTAACCTTTAACTGTGCAAAATGGTATATTGTAGGGTAACAATTTTTTAAGCAAGTTACCTCAAATGGGCTAACTTATGGAATGCATCCAAAATCTAGACCCATGACTCAAAGAGAATTGAAATTTGGCAAATGTTATAAAACATTTTGATATAAAGCTTATCATAAAACACTTATGGCATTCAAAACGACATAAAATCTTTCTGGTGGGCAATTCCTGATGTTTCACTGTGCTGTACAGTTCATCACAGGCTACTTTCAAGATAATCTCTCTGAATTTTTAAAAAACTTTCCCAGAAGATTAGAAGCTTTGCCATCCTTGAAAACATTGAAGAATCTGGTAAGGCTATATCTGTAAAACAATGAGCCAACAGGTCACAATTCTTGTGTGTGTGTGTTTGTTTGTAATTAAAAGTTTTAAAGTCAAGATAAAAACATATATGAACTAATTCAGAAGCAACAAAGAAAGAGAAAGGAAGGGGGGGGAAACAAAAGTGCAGAAAGAAAGGATAAAAGGAAATAAAAAGAAGTTTTCAATTTCCTTTGCAGTGAATACAAGTACGGTATGATTGCAAAGCTATCACTCACTCCATGATTACAAAGCCCATTTTTTGCTAATAATTTTTTCCCCTAATCATCAGAATCACACATCATATATGCATTTTTCTCTGTTTCATGCAAAAAGTCTGCAAGGAGTTTCCAGTCATAAATAGACATACTTTCTTATTTCTAATCCAAGGAAAATAAAGCTTCCAAAATTTACCCCCAACTCTGAAGTCCAGCAAGAATAACAAATGAAAATTTTTTGCTTGTTTGTTTGTTTCTGGCTTTCTGTATCCCCTTTCCTTCCCCAAATACTTACCGTGTTATGCAACAAATAGGAAGTATCTTCCACATTGAGCACCATTTTTAGAAAGTACAGTTTGAAGTTAATCCCAACGAACCCCACGAGAAAAATAAATATCGGCTTTTGCTTGGGATCTGGGGAGCAACTGGTTTTTATAGCTAAGCCACTGCCCTACTTAAGCCCTGAGACTCCCAGCGAGGAAACTATTGTGCGACATCCTCCTTAAATCAGATTTAAAGTGGGCTTAACAGCGGGAAACTGGGTTCTGCCATCCAGCAAACATTGTGTGCACATGCGTGTTGCAAAGGACGATAATTATCGTCCAGACAAGCCCGTCTTACAAGTACAGCAGTGCGCTTTGTGTATCTTAAATGTTTGTAGTGTTTTTCATTTTATTAGGATTTTTAAAATATTTTTAGAATGATTGTTTTATACTTGTTGTTTTGTTGATTGTTGTACGTTGCCAGAATCGCTTCTTGTGAGATGGGAGGCCATATAAGCATGTTAAATAAATAAGTAAAGAAATCAAATTTACGCTAAAGACACATAACTAAGCTTGAGCAGAATAACAAAGCACCTCCTGTACAAATGCAACGGTAAAACTTTAAACAACTTCATGCTCCCCTTTGCTTCCTCAGGAAAAAGACACCAATAGAAGAATACCTAGAACAGGGGTAGGCAACCTTGGCTCTTTTATGACTTGTGGACTTCAACTCCCAGAATTCCTGAGCCAGCCATGCTGAGGGGAAAGGGAGAGGTTTCCAAGCTGAGCCATGCTGGCTCAGGAATTCTGGGAGTTGAAGTCCACAAGTCATAAAAGAGCCAAGATTGCCTACCCCTGGCCTAGAATAACAGGGTTGGATAGAGGGTAGAGTTTTTCATGGAAGAAGTCCTTAGAAGTGGTCCCTGCTAAAGGACACTCCCTTGTGGGAGGGATTCAGAGATAACCTTTCCTTCCAGATTTTAATATCAACAGCCCATCGAAAAATCTGCCTTCCCCAAGCAGGTTATTATCTACCAGACCACTAAACTGTCAAGCTGCGTAGAAGCCTGGGCTTCAGGAGATTATCCATGCCATCGCAACCACTACTAGACAAGGATTAGAATCAAATTTAATAAATGGTCTACACTGATGTGTCCTTCAGTCCTTGTTCTAAGCCCTTCGGCACACAACTCCAGCGGTCAGCTGTCTCCAGGCTGGCCAAATGTCATCTCTGGGTGAAATCGGCTGGGCTTGCAGTAGGCTTCCCCCAAGAAAACAGATGGCGTCTCATCCTAATCAACGTCAAGTTTATTGTTAAGAGGCTCTTTGTTGACAACCCTGTGCTACAGCCCTCGCCTTGGCGATAAAAATATCCCAGGTACGCTAATCCGACAGGAGGCTGAAGATAAACCTGCCATCTGGCACCTTGCAGAAAGCTGGGTGTGGTCTGCAGACTAGGCAATACTGCTGCACGTAGCTATGTCCAAGAAAAGTCCAAGAAAAGAGGTCACCACTTCCTGGGATGCAATAGTGAATAGCTGCCTATGTCAGCTCCACAAAAGCAATGTTCCTGTCCAGGCAGCTGGGCTGCCTTTGGAGGTTCTTATTAAAATTCAGATCGGCGTGATGGCCCAGTGGTGAAGACTCTCGCCTCCTGCTCTGAAGGTTGAGAGTTCAATCCTAGGAAGTGGCAGATGTTTCTCTTTTACGGAGTAAAGGAAAAAAATATCTGCTGTGAACTCTGCGTAGGCATCAGGAAGGGCATCCAGCCAGTAAACGCTGAGCTCCAACCAGTCACCTCGACTCTAGCCCAAATTAAGGGACTACAGGGTTGTAAAAAAAAAGAAAACCCACAAAAATTAAAATTTAGATGGGGAGCCAAAGCAGGTATGTAGCAGGTAGCTCTTTTTCAGAGAGAGGTGAACCATATCCGTGGGACCTGCTGAGACTTGAAGCAAAAGGCCGGGGGACACGTTCTAAGTGGTGGGCAGGGTCAACGCATGAGACTTTGTGTTTAGTTTTGATTTAGACTGAATCAAAATAAAAGCGAATTAGATGCTGTGGAAGGCAAAGGTGTCTTCAAGATGACATCCTGCAATGACATTTCAGACAAACGGTTGTCCAGTTTTTTCTTAAAAACTTCCAGTGTTGAAGCATTCACAACTTCTGGAGACAGGTTGTTCCACTGGTTAATTGTTCTAACTGTCAGGAAGTTTCTCCTTAATTCTAGGTTACTTCTTTCCTTGATTAGTTTCCATCCATTGCTTCTTGTCCTGCCTTCAGCTGCTTTGGAGAACAGCTTGACTCCCTTTTCTTTATGGCAGCCCCTGAGATATAATACTGCTGACTGACCTTGATACACAGGAGATCTTTTCTGAATGGAGCGACACTCTGTGTAATTTATTAGAGCTGCAATTCTGGAGAAAGAGACAGACTGGGTCACAGCACCACAATGTGTTGATTTGCCTAAGACAGGGGTAGGCAACTTTGGCTCTTTTATGACATGTGGACTTCAACTCCCAGAATTCCTGAGCCAGCCATGCTGAGGAGAAAGGAAGAGGTTTCCATGCTGAGCCATGCTGGCTCAGGAATTCTGGAAGTTGAAGTCCACGAGTCATAAAAGAGCCAAAGTTGCCTACCCCTGCCCTAAGAGGACCACATGCATACCATCTGAACCTGGGAAAACCTAGGAGCCCTGGTGCCACAGTGGTTAGAATGCAGTATTGCAGGCTAACTCTGCCTACAGCCTGGAGTTCGATCCTGACAAGGCTCAAGGATGACTCCGCCTTCCATCCTTCCGAGGTCGGTTAAATGAGGACCCAGATTGTTGGGGGCAATATTCAAATAATGCTGACATTGTTAACTGCCCACAGAGTGCTGTAAAGCACTGTGGGGCACTATATAAGTCTAAGTGCTATTGTTGTTGCTCTCTGGATGGTTCATCCAAACAAGACGAATAGTTAATAGTCATAGGGAATCAAATGTTTGTTAGCCCTGATGGCAGTGGGATTACCTCTGAACTATTTTTCTAGGCAGCTTCCTCCTTTCCCTGTACCTGGTTAATAGAAGCAGTGCTTCATGGAGAATACCTTTAGCATCCTTGGCCAGTAGACCACCTCCTCCACTGGCTCAAAGGGAGATTTTGCAAGCACCCTGGCAAACAGTGACTCCGTCCTTGTGATATTGGTAAAGTGGAGGGTATTACAGCAGTTAGCCAGTCTTACATAGTGATTTAGAAATCTTTCAGAAAACAACTATTCCTGAGGATCTGAAGGTTTCAGAAAACAACACGAAAGCCAGAGTAAATGCAAGCAAACAGTACATAAGTCAAACTCAGTCACTTGTTCACCTGCCAACTTTAATCAGAAATGTGCTTTTTCAAGAACCCTTTTCTATATGTGCTTCTGCGAAACATTCATGTTACAGCTTATATTGTAACTACTCGCTGTCTCCATGGACCACTGATATATCATTAGATTAGATTCATTAGATGCCCATCACAATATTTAACAGTTGTAATGTTTGTTCTACCACACTTACGTGAATGTCATCATCAATATCAGGCAGGAGACGAGTGATGACCTGGAAAAGAAAGATTACAAGAGGGTTACAAGATGGAAAACCCCAAAGGTTTCATTTCTGAGATAAAGGCTGTGGAGATCTCTTATTAGCTTTATCCCATTTATATAAAAGTTTAGCAAGATAGGATCTCTCAGATGTCATCAGGTTGAGAGGAGATCCCTCCAAACCAATGGGGCAAAAGTTAACAATGATCATTGAGAAGCCCATTAACCCTAAAATACAACAAAGCCTGGATCCAATCCAGAAATAAAGATCGGATTGTACTGGCAAATAAGGCCAGACACCACAGAAGCTATTAAAAAAAACACTCCATCATTCCTCCTATAAGCGGAAATCTGATTCATATCATTTGCAGTTCTTCAGAAACATTCATTCTGTGGATTGGGACTTGTAGGAAGATGAAATGAGGGTGTCCCAGCTTATTGGTGGCCCATGTGATGCCTCCCTCCCCCCAGTAAAATTGATTTTACTCAAACTGTCACTAAACTTTGTTTACATAAATGACCACTCCCTGTGTGTTTAAACACCGTAAATGGCACCGTAAATGGAGAAGTTGATCTTGCCAAATGACGAAAAGCAATTCTTAAATCTTACTTGTCCATAATGCAAGGGGTGGAGCAGTGATGCAAAACCCGTAGGGTGCATAGCTGTGGGGTTTTTTAATTATTATTATTCTCAGCCCCCCCCTCCAAAACAGAGGTTTTAGCGAAGGTCATTTTAGGATTGTATATCCCTTTAGTCAAGTACTTTGGCCACCTAATGAGAAGGAAGGACTCACTGGAGAAGAGCCTAATGCTGGGAAAGATGGAGGGCAATAGAAGAACGGGACAACAGAGAAGGAGGTGGCTGGATGGAGTCACTGAAGCAGGAGGCGTGAGCTTAAATGGACTCCAGAAGATGGTAGAGGACAAGAAGACCTGGAGGAATGTTGTCCATGGGGTCGCGATGGGTCAGACACGACTTCGCAACTAACAACAACATCCCTTTATGTCACTTCAAATTGGAAGGAAGTTGTTCCATGGGTTTTCAGCTATTTTATTATAGGAAGCTCTGCAGAGAGTTCACTTTCTGCACCGTTAATCTATACTTTTCATTTAATAGCAACATTCTGGGGAGCCGGTATCTTGTTAACAGGTAAAATGCCAAATGTCCCCAGGTAGTTTTGAATCAGCCACTTTCTCTCTGTCCATCCTGTCTCACAACTCCCAAAGAGCTTTCTTCTGAGCTCCAGAAGAGAGGATGAAAATTTAAGGAAGACTAGAATAACGAATTACGTTTGTGAAATAAAGCGTTCAACGCTAAGACAACAATCGGACAGAACAAATGATATGGGTCACTTTAAAAAAAAAAAAGTTTACATGGTAGTAGACAGATATGAAAATCACTGCTGAGTGAGTACTGGGGAGGATTATCCCATAAATGATGCCCCTACTGCACTTCAGAACAGGATCTGCGATTTGAGAGTCTGGAAGATTTGGCAGTCTTTCTGGTGCAATTATGCAAACTTAACTCTTAAGCGGACAGCAAAACCCCGCTCCCTTCTAGCACTGATGATGTTACCTAGTTGGGTAATGAAATGTCTGCAAGAAAGCAACCAGGCTCAGAGAACACAACTTACCTCTTCTTTGTCGACTAAAGGTTTCTGCTCTGCAACACGAGATTCCGGACCACCTGACGACATTGTCAGCAGTTGGTACCTAAGAAAATGCAGAAATGTTAGTGTTCCTTAGGAGCAGAATGTTGTACATACATATCTACCAAAAGAATATTTGAAGCTCCAGGTTGAACTGTGGGATCCTTGATGAGCTTGGTTGTTTTCTTGCAGACATTTCATTACCCAACTAGGTAACTTCATCAGTGCCGATATTATCTAGTTTGGTAATGAAACATCTGCTGGAAAAGCACCAAGCTCAGAGAATACCACATATCTGCGTTTTTACAAGATTGAGATTTTTCAAAGCCAAAAGCTGAATAGACCTCTGCAGAGGTGCCTGACAGCCCCACAGAACATAGACTGATGATGCTATGAGATGTTTCAGGCAGCAGAAGACC